GGAGAGTGACGGCCCGTGGACTTGACTTTCTCCCACCCGCGGCACATGCAATGGAGTGTGGGGGGACATCCCCTTCAAGGGCTCCGCCTCCAAGACCACCACAATTGATCTGAAATGCTGAGGGTGGGGGTGGGATGTCACAACGTTGATTCGTGCAATCATCCACAGGACGGTGACCCACAGAATTTCACCTTGCTGACGCTGGTAGATGGCTTCAAACATAATGAGTTTGGATCCCTTATAAGACAAATACACCTCAAACCTCGATTTTAGCTCTCCAAAAGCTTGTTTTAAAAGTCGGAGAGAAAACCAATGTCCAAATAAAAGTTGAACATTTAGTCCAAGCCACACATTTTAGTTGAAAATCAATTACAAAGTCCAAATAAAAGTCAAAAATCAAACCCAATGTCAAAATAAAGGTTGAACATAAGTCCAATGTCTAAAAAAAGTTGAATTTAAAGTCAAATGTCCAAATATAATTTGAAATAAAGTCAAATGTCCAAATAAAAGTTGAACATAAAGTCCCATGTCTAAATATCAGTTGGAAAACACAGCAAAAGTCAAAATAGAAGTTGTAAATATACAAAAAGTAAAAAATAGTGTCCAATAAAATTGAAAAAGAAGTCCCAAGTCCAAATAAGAATAGAAAATAACCAAATTACCAATTAAAAGTGAAAATTAAGTTGCGATTAAAGTTGAAATCAAGTCCAACAATTAAAGTTGGAGTCCAATGTTGCAACAAAAGTTGAAATCAAGCAACTGGTTTTGATAAAAGTTGAAATTAAGTCCAAAGTCAACTCAAACAGTTGAAAATAGAGTCCACATAATAATAGTTGAGCGTAAAGCGTAATGCCAAAAAATAATCCAAAAACACAAAAAATCACATGTCAAAAAAAGGCTTGAACACATTCAACCGATTCAAGATTCAAGCGTAGAATTAAGGTTGAAAATGCGGTCCAATGATCAAACAAAAGTCGAAAATAGAGGTAAGCTTAAACGTGAAATGTCAAAGTTGACTATCAAGCCCGACGCCCAAATACAGTTACAAGTTCAATAATGTCGCGTGCCCCAACATAAATTAATTCAAAAATTGAACCAATTGCATTATTACTATATTCAGCACATAGTCAGAAAAACAAAGCACAATATCCACCAAATTTTCGAAAATCGATTAGATTATGTGAAAAAAATGCTTTGAATTGTCACAAATATATTAGTCTCCCGCCCTCCCATCAGGGCAGGCATGTTTGTACTTTGGAGCCACTGGTTCCTGCAGAATCAAGGTAAGGGGAATGCCACGTTGAGGCATTGACATTGACCCGTTGAGTCCTTGATTTCGACGGATGGCCACAAAAAAAGAGAGCGTCGCCAATGACAGTGACAAGACAAGAGTCAAGAGCTGTCAAAATCAACTTACCTGCTCCTGCGATCAAAAAAAGAGTTCGCGCTATTTAACCTATGCGAGTTATACTATACTATACTATACTATTGCACGGCGTTCACGATGCAGCGCGCAGTGCATACATACACCGAGGCCGATTCACTCACGACTCAGGACTCCGGACTTGACTGGACTCGACTCGACCTAGAGCTTCGACCTTTACCTTGTAACTTGTAACTTGTAACTTGTACATTAACTGTAATTTCATTGTCCAGTGACTGCAGTGTTGGGTTGCGTTGTTGTTCTAATTCTATGACTCTATGAGTCTGGCTTGTCCGGTTCTTTGTCTGTGGAGTTGAACTCTTTGAGGTAAAGTAAATTTGGGGTTGCGCTCACCATGCTCCAGCCGGCGCAACCACCAAAGCATGGCGGTGTTGGCAAACGGTTCTAAAATGAAAGTCGGCAAAAGTTAAAACAGCCACCACTGCAACATCGTGACCATTGTTACAAAATTGGGAAGGCCAAAAGGCAATGGTCATGGTATAGTATAGACTATAGACCAGGTGAGAAAGCAAAATCAACTCTTTACCGCAATGAATGTGAAACAGAAACGGGTTTAGGAGTGTAGTGTAGATGAATGGTTCTATTTCGTGTTCAAAATATGGTGGAATTCCTCTGCCACAGGCCAGCAAGCAGCTAGCAAGCAGCAAGCAGCAAACAGCAAACCCAAGTCAATCAAATCAAATCCTGCGAAGAGGAAGACTGCTAATCAAATCACTACTACTTACTACTTTACTAATACTACTATTACTACTACTACTACTACCACTCACTATTAACTACTACTACTACTACCACTATTAACTACTACTACTACTACTACCACTATTAACTACTACTACTACCACCACTATTAACTACTACTACTACGACGACGACGACTACTACTACTAACTAACTAACTAACTAACTAATTAACTAACTAACTAACTACTAACTACTAACTACTAACTACTAACTAACTACGAAACTATAGTTACTAGCTGCTAGGCAGGCAACTACATTGTTACATTTATGTTTCAGGCACATCCAGAATTCAGGCACAAAAGATGTTCAGCACTCCGCCTACTGGGTGAGGGCCTGTAGATTCACTGTAGACTGTAGACTGTAGATTGATGTGTCAGTCTCAGGCTCTGTTTCTTCAAACGCATTGCGGCTTAGGCTTAGCTAAGTTCATAATCATAGACAAGATCTTGCTTCCAGTTTTTTAAAACTAGTGTAGCAGCATAGCCTCATTAGAGCAATCTGTGTTTTGAAACCTTGTGACATGTGCGCTCCCGCTCGCCCGCTCAGAAGGGTTGAGCCGATTGCTTGTTCTAGATTCTATAGAGCAGTTTCCAGCTGGACATCGAAGGCCAGTTTTTCACTTGTCTGTTAGTGTTTGTTTGTTGACAGTCCTGCTTTCATGATGTAGCTGTAACTGTGGGATGAAAAACAAAACAAAACAAACTCCAGCTGTGACTTGTGAGTCATGAAACGTTCGCTGCGACCAGACGTGCAACAGGTGGGTTGTTTAATTCGGCTCGAAGCACACGCTCACTCGACTCGACGCTGGAGAATCGAACATCGAGTGTGACAACCTGGTATGTATCCACCGTGGCCAGCAACAAATGGAGACTTAGGTCGGTCAGGTCAAGTCGAGTCAGGTCAATTTAAAAGCCTGCGTTGGTGACTTGTTTTGCCGCTGGCCACTGCAGTGACCAGACCAGAACAGACCTTGGGAAGATCGTGGCGCACTCGATAGAAGCGTTGTAAGTGTGAGATGGTGAAAACCCTCGCACTTGTTTAGTTCCAGGGTTTTGGAAACTCTATATAGCGTCCAGATTGCAGACTTGACTCCTTTCTTCCCGTTCTTGTAGAAGCGGTTTCGCCATGTTCTTCATCGGCTTCTTTCCCTGTTTGGCACTCAGATTCTGACAGTTCTGGCATGTGATGGAAATAACCGAATTTCAAGAGCACTTTTGCGTTTTGTGATAGGAGTGGTGGTGGTGGTGATGGTGAAATGGTGTCTTTTAACTTTTAGTCTTTTTCTTGATGCTTCATGAAACTGGCAAGATTGAGCAGTAAGCTTTAGTTGTGAAAGCTTCAAGTAATCAAGTAGCGCAGCGTGGCCCATTGCCCATTTCCCAACGTGTAACGTGGCCCATTGCCCATTGCCCAAATTAAGACAATCGGACAATCGTGACGATCAAGAATCGGACACCGCACCCCCCTTGAAAGCTCGTGGCCAAAGCGAACACTGGGATGGTAAAGCCCTCCAAAAATAGAGACAGACCCGACACTTTCAATTCTACAGGACAAATACTGTTTCGACAGTAGAATCCCATTGTGGGCTGACGCAAACCCAGAAATGCTAATTTTCCACTTGGATTACTTGGATTGGCCTGTGAAATTTGACCCCCACAAGTCCGGTTTTCCCCTTTCAAAGCCTGCATTTCAAGCAGGTCGAACCGGACTTGTGGGGGTCTTTTTTGCAGGCCAATCCAATTGGAAAATCGCAGCCCAGAATGACCTCCAGCGAACATGTACGATGCACTGGGAAGGACCTCGCAATCACAGACCGAGACATCAAACAATGTGGACGCCTATATAAATGTGCGCTATGGGCCATGCCGATAAAACAGCTTAAACCAAACCCGAGTCTTGGCTTCATCGAAACCAATATCACAGCTCAATCACCAACAAAGAATTAAGCCGCGCTGGTTTTTGGGCTGGCCTTGGCCCGCCGCAAGACACCCAGCTTGGCCCAGCAAACAGAATAACCCGAAGCAAGAGCATGAAATTGCAACCATTATGGTAGCCCGTGTTTTTCATTACCGCAAATCAAGCGTGACCACAGTCCTTCTTTTCAACGACCACAGTCCTTCTTTTCTACGAAGCACTGATGCGCACAACCACCATTTTCAGACATGAACCACACAGGATTTGACTTGCGCTCAATTTGGCTGGCTTGGAGGGTGAAAATCCAATTCTTCACTGAAGCGTTGTGTTACTATCCTTCACTGGCGTGTTCTTCCAGTTTTTTACAGCTATACTATAGTAGTCTAGCGAACGGATGTTGCAGCGCTCCCAGGCGCTTGCTTGTGGGTTTTGCCTTTGAGCCCAGAAGTCGAAGGCGAGGGCCTCCAAGTCACTCTTTCAGACTCTTCACGTTTTCTTGTCACTTGTCTGTTCACAAGCTGCCAAGTGAAAGTGTCCACTTGGATTGGGTCGAGTCATGAAGTCATGAAACGGACCCCCCCAAGTCACCCCAAGTCCCATTTGGCTCCTCCATTGGTGTAGGATTTGGGGGGGTCCGAATTCATGGCCCAAACCAAAGCCGGTTTGATGTGCTCCAACAATGCCTGGAGTCCTGGAGCCTCAAACCATAACAGTCAGTTGCCATATGACATATGACTTGAACCGATGTGTGAAGTGAGCCGAAAACACTAACCCTCGCTGCCCTAGCTTCTAGATAGCTTTGCATGCGTGGTAGGCTTTTCCTCCCACTGTCCCACCATCGACCCACTTGACTTGCACCATCAAACACAATGACAATGAACAGCTGCTGTCTTGGACGATGGATGATTCCTGCCTGGATCTGTTTCAGCCAGATGGAGATGCGCAGGATGCTCTGGAGCAGCATGCATGCTTAGATTTGTTTGAGGACGTGGACGTTCAAGCAGCTCCTTCCTCACCACCCCCTGGCTCAGTAGTGATACAAGTTGATTCGCCACCTCAAAAGAGGCTCCGTGGTCAGCCCAGACAAAGCCTTGCCTCGAACGAGGCCATTGTTGCGAGTGTGCGTGAGAGCGAGGCATCAGCAGCTCGGAAGTTGAGCAAGAATCGCCGCAAGAGGTGGTCCAACTCTGCCCGATCAAAAGATGAAGTTGATGGTAAAGTGAGCAAGCAAACTCAAGAACGCTTGGACCGAATGGCAAACCTTTGCGTAGCCTTTTTTGGATCTGATTCTTTGCGGGGGGCGAGAAGTCACATTTCAACTCAGCTGGGCCTTCCGTTACATACGGTGTTGGTGACCCAACACCGTTTGGCTGAATTGGCTTTGCAAAGCCAAGATGCCCATGCAACTGCCTTGATTGAACATTTGATCAGTGCTTGCGAAGACTGCAGTCGCTCGGATAGGTCATTGCAGCCACAGCTGTTTTGCCGGGTTAGGCAATATGATGAAACGCCACTAACTTTGCGCATCGGTCACCTCAGTTCAGAAGACAAACCACCCCTGCCGATTCTGGAAGATTCAACGCGGCGTATTGGCAAAGGAAGGAAAACAAAGGATGCGCAAACTTGCAAATTATTTCTGACAGAGTTGCGGTGGTGTGCGCTCTTTGTGGAAGATGGAACCAGTGATACTGATAGAGTGACTGGAATGCACTTAGAATCTCAGTTGGTGTCTCCTTTGCAAGTTTTGGCAAGCAACACAGCAGAACTGATGGCGGAGGCCCTTTTGGTTTCAGGCGCCATGCGATTGGATGCCTTGGCAAATTCGAAGTTTCAGCGTGTCCTCTCCATCGTCACTACAGATGATCTGAGTGCCAACACTGCTGCTGAGAGATTACTTTCAGAGCGAGAAAAAGAACTTTATCCTGGTGTAGACTTTGGCAAACTACACCTTCCTTGTGAAGTACATAAGTGTCACGGCATTGCGAAATCCATGTTCCAGTTGTTGCCTGATTTCACATCAGGGTTGATCAAGGCCGCCCTGGCATTGCGATCAGGGCACATGCGGCAACTCAGACTGATAGTGAAAGACTTGATTCGTGACAAACTTCGCATCTATCGGGCCACACCTTCTTTCACTGGGTCTGACTCCAGCGCCTTCCGGGACCACATGATGAAGGTATTTTTCTCTACCTGTACAAGTGCCGAGAAGGCAAGCGTGGTGAGCTTGTTCAACGGGGATTGGTCAGACCCCGAAATTCAACATGTGTGTTTGGGCTGCTGTTCTTCCCGTGAGCATACCATTCACAAGATGGAAACACTGGCCTTGCCAGTCTTTTTGTGGAGAGGGCCACGTGTGTTGCCACGCCACAAGTGGGTAGGCGCAGACGATTCTTTGGATTGGTTTGGTAGGCTTCTTGCTCTTCATTCTTTGTTGCCAGAAGTCATGCGCCGCTTGTTTGGCCCACGGGCCCATGGACGTCCATCCCAGGCTGGTGACACGGCAGAACCAGAGTCAGCGCTACTAGAATCCATAGAACATGAAGCCTTTTCTGCTTTGGCTGCGTATGATGCCTCTCAAGGCCCCACTCATGACGCAGAGGCAGAGGATGACTACCGGGTAATCTTCAAACGTTGGAGGCAGCAAGCCTACGATTGGGCGTGCAATTACAAGGACTTGCAAGGTGACCTTTTGTTTTCTCGCTTGGCCTTGGCTCCGCAGTGTGAGCTTATGAACAAGCAGCTGTTCCTAGCCTCGGGCAAATGGGATGAGCAACAATTTGCACATGAGGCAGAGCATGGCTCAAGAATGTTTCGGGTGTTGGAAACACATCAGAACGTTGCTGTGAGCAAAGCAATTGAGCAGGTCATTTCCATTGCAAAGCAGGACTTCTTTTCCAACGTGCCTTGTGAGTTGTGGACAATGCGGCATTCACACCAGCTGTTCCGATTGTTGATGCGGGTGGGTGCATCTGCTCACCATTATCTGTACCAGAGGCACAAGCGCTATCCTTACAAACTGTTTGCTTTGCTGCAGGAGGATGGAGAAGCAGTGAAACAAGCAGGGCAAGACATCTTGCGTGACTTTCAGCAGCACCCTTGTACGCTTTGCGCGTTTTCAATGTGGTTTTTGAAGCACGACAACCGCAGCTCTAGCCTTGATGCCCTCATTTCAAGAAGGTCGTTGTTAGAACTTGCTAGCATTGCGACAGAGTGCGCAGTTGATATCTGCCACACAGAATGTCAGCACGCAAGCAACAGACGCCTGGTGGAAGGCAAAAGCCTGCACACCTACCAGGCGGACTTGGCAGAGGCATCGTCGCACTATGTAGCCAGAGTGCTACGATCCACAAGCTGGCGTGGAATCAGATCAGTCTTGCCCAATCACATGGCCCCAGACAAGGTGAGGGCCAAACCAGGCCCCAAAAAGAAAGAGAAGGTGATATCGAATCACTACCAGAAAGCTAGAGCGCGAGGCCAACCATTGAGAAGAGGGGGTGGTGAACGGTCGGTTTTTTTGTCCGAGCAAGGAGCTCTCTTTCCAGGCACACCAGAGGCAAAGCGCCAGCGGGCCTTGCTGGCGCAAAAATACAAGGCTTTGCCTGATGCTGAAAGGAAGCGGCTTCGAGACAAAGCGTTTAGTGTGCGACAAGCAAAGAAATATGGAGCGAATCAACTGGTGAGACGCCTCAAGCCCAAGCGGCCAGCTTTGGCTTTGGCCGATGTGTTTTGGCTTGAATTTCCGGTTTTGTTGTAGGCGTTGGAACGTTGGGCGCTGCTTGCAATTGCAACCTTGTGCTTTGGTGTGGACAGGGATAGGGTGTTGCGTGGTTTGAAAACCGGTCACTTTTATTGCCGCTACGTCAACATAACATGAGTTTCTTAGTAAGGCGTGCCTTTAAGGTGGTCTGGGAGTGCCCCATAGCCATAGAAACCGAGGCAGCGCATGCTCATGTCAACATCTCTGGTGCTCCAGCAATTTGTGACTCGCGCTCTTCTGACTTGAGCTTGGAAGCTGTGGTTCTTCAAGAGAAAGCCTTGGCCAAGCAGCTTCGTTCTCAGAAAAATGCAGTGGAGTTGGCCAGGATGAAGGACCTTGCGCAGGCAAACATATCCACTCTTCTGGGAGTGGTGGAGCCGGTGAAAAGGCAAATCTTGACTTCGCCGAAAAAGAACGAGGGTGAGGCAGCAGCGCCTTGCCATAACCAGAACTTTTAGTTGAAGGTGCCTAGAGAAAGAACCACTCAGGCTATATATACATATATATGTATATATACCTAACAGTTACTAACACGAGCGCCAACGCCCATGTTTGGTTAGTTTTTTGAATTCAGGGTCGTTTGACAAAAGAGTCAAAAGAGAGGAGGAGACCAATGGCAGTGTGTTTTTGTAGGGACTGTGTTGCTTAGGCAAAGGTCCTTCACAATTTCCAAACAACAGGCGTTCAACTAACTAGACCGCGCGTATCCCTGTAGACTTTGCCCAGCGTTGGCGCCAACCCACCTAGACCTAGACCTAGACCTAGACTTTGCCCAAAGACCTTTTCTTGCTCGCTGTAAGGATTGGCAGCTTGGCATTCCGGTGGCAGGTGAGGATGTGGTGCCAATTTCACCATGTGTGCCGATGGCACGATCTTCGACCGCTCTCGATGTGAGCGCCTCCTGCATGAACTCCGCCTGGAAAAGGTTGAAGAAATTGGAGGAGGGAAGTCAAGACGGGCGTCTCCAATCCTTAGACAAAACATGGGAGCAGAGGCATGATATGATAACTGGTAGCTCGTTTCATCACACAAAGCCGCCTCCTGACAAGCACAAGCGGTGCCGCTGCGCTGGAGTTCCGTTCTGTCGAGGTTGGTTGGAGCCACTCCGAAAACGATTCGCTGCAGCTATCGTTGCCATGTGCTCGTCCAGGGCAAAGCTCAAGGACAAGTTGGTAAATGGCTTATTGGTTTTGCATTTGTCTGGAGTGCAAACCCAAGCGCTCCTAGAAGGCAAGACTTTGAGCGGTCAAAGTGTAGAGGCAGGGTTGGGCATTTCAGAGCGGCGCCCAAGCGAGACCATGTGGCTGCACATATCCTTTGTGTGGGGTGGCTTGAAACAATTTTTCCCAGTCTTTGGTGTATTGCAGCAGCCAAACAACTCTGCAGAGCAAGCCGGCTCACATGTAGATCTGACTTTTGACAGCAAGTTTGAAGACTTCTACGAACTTTTACAGAAGCTGGATGTAAACATGCAATGGTCGGCTGAACTGTATGAGTTGGTCAACTGCGAGAAAGTTGTGGGGAATCTGGTTCCTGCTGTGTGTGTAGCCCAAAAAACCGAGTGCCCGCCCTATGTTGCCTGGAAAGGCGCTTCTGCTTACCGTTCTGAAGGTGCGCGCCAACGCCCAGCAGCCGAGGGTCCACGCACTGCGAAAAGAAATGCAAGCACTGCTCTGGAGTTGTTTTTGGAGGACGGCCAAGGCCAAGAGGACCAAACCATGGCTGTTGAGGGAAACAGCGCTGAAACCCAGTCGCATGCAAGTGTAGACCTAGATGGAGAACAGGTGTATGAATTGGAGGAAGACTCAGAGAACGATGTTGATTTTGATGCTTGGCAGTTACCAGCAGACGCTCCAGAAGTACCCATCAGGGAAGAAGTTTTGATGGAAGCTCTAGCTTTGGCATTGGACGGTCAGGATGAAACCTGTGACCTAGAGAGTGCAAGGGGTGGTGCTGGAGAGGAAGTGGCCACAGAAGCAGCCATGCCCCCTCCTCCTGCCCCTTCTTCAGCAAGCCGCGCAGAAGAGAGATTTCCAGATTCTATGTCGCTGTCAGACCTGGCAGCAGTGCCCCTAGAGGAGGTGCGCGGTGAGAGGGTGGAAACACATAGGCGGGAGGGCCCAAGGCAAAGCCATGAAGGGCTACCTATTCGAGGTGAAGATGGAGGTAACTTCATCACACACATTAAGCACAAGCCCCAGGCGAATGATGTCTTTATCCGGTGCCCAAAGCATCCTTCGTGCTTCAAGACGAAGACGCTCAATGCGTCTGACCGGTCTCTGGCGCAAGGTAGACCCCTTGCGTTCCTCATGGCCTGGGCATGGGAGGCGGATTCCCATCCCAACAAATCAGAACACATCAGGCTGTGCAAGCCTAGCTTCGAGAAGAGAAAGAAAGCTCGACAGATGTTGAAAGAGGAGAGTAACAGTGGCACCTTCTTAGACTTGGAACGGCCACCCAGAGAAGGTGAAGGTTCCGAGCCCGAAAACTGTCCATAGCTCTAGGGCTTCCAGGAGGATGGCGCAACTTCCGAATGTTGAAATAGAAGCGGGTGTTCTTCATCGTTGTGCTGCTAGGGTTTCAGACAGACATGGCATCGAGGCCTCAAGGTCAAGGTCCAGGTGCGAGGTTCTGAAGGTCCTCACTCGAAGCCGCGTTTCTTTTCAGGCGGTGGCAGCCCCCGAAACTTCTTGCCAGAAAGCCTGTGACACGCAGGAACCGTCTTGGGTGAGTAGAGTGTTCCATGTCATGCACTCCTGCTACAACAGAACAGATGCTTCCTGATAGTCGCATTGCATTGTAGTAGACATGACGTCGGCTTCATTCTCCACTTGTGCGCGCAAGGCTCCAAACTTGACGAAGGCTGTTCAATTGCCGGGAACTCACACTGTTTGCTCAGCATTTTTCCAAGTCCATTTTTTGATTCCTTCGCTAAGGCGATCATTTTGTTGAATGCCAGTGGCCGGAACCTGAACAAGTGAAGTGTGGCAAGCAAGCTGTGTGATTCTGTTTGCTGAAGCTGTTGATTTCTTACTTTTGAAACCTTTTAAGTCCAAGAGCAGTTCGCGCTAATGCAACAAATGTCCATGCGTGAGATGTAATGAGATGTAGCGATTTGGCTTCGCCGCAGCAGAACCTTCTTGTCCCGTTGGAGCCTTTGTCCTGTTCATCATGAAGCGGCGGCTTAGTACCGATGACAGTGATAGCGAAACTTTGGATTTGACAACGTGCAGGCCAAGGTCTGAGAGCTTGATGAGAGCTACTGGACCAAACAGCCCCGATAGCTCGCTAGCTTCCATTGATGGCTATTTCACCGGGGCTACCTTGCCTGGTCGTGACTTCGGGGCAAGCAGTGATTTGGGCAGCAGTGATGCAGATGTGCCAGCGACGACCTCAGGTGTGCATGGCCCACCCTGCAGCCAAAAGGGATTGCATCCCACCTACATGGTGCCCACCGACTTGGACTACAAACCTGCTTGTGGATGGCAACAGAACATGCTTCGGTGGTTTGGCCCGCGATTCACTGATGCTGTTTTTCAGCGCAAAGTGAAATTGGTGACCTGTTGTAGTGGAACAGGGGCGCCCCGGATAGCTTTGGATCTTTTGGGGTTCCCAGTTGAAGAACTTTGCAGCGTTGATCCAAAGACAGCTTGCGTGAGTCTTCTTCGCAACAGCAAGGAGACAGAACGAGCGCACCACCATTTTGCGATTGCAGAACAGCTGGTTCAGAACCAAGGGTTCTGTTTTGTCCATGAGAGCTTGTGCTTTTTGGAGCCTACGCGGGAGGACTTGTTTGTAGCTGGGTTTCCATGCGCTCCATTCAGCACAGCTCGACCAGCACGGTGGCAGTCAGGTGGGTGGCGTGACCACCCTGAAGCGAAGATTATGTTTGAGGTCGCGGAGTCCATGACAAACAGGATGCCACTGTTGGCGGTCTTAGAGAACGTTCCGGGATTTTTGAGACAGTCAAGGCAGCGGCAGAGTCATGTTCATTTCATTGAATTTCATGTCGTTCAGTTTCCAAAGACCAGAGTCGAGTCATGAGATGCGTTGTTGTGCAATGCTGTACTAACGTAGTGAGACCTTGTGCTAACCACTGGGCGTCGGAATGTTCACATTCTATAAAACTGAAATTTCGGGTTTGCTTGCAGGGAAGATGCACGGAAGCCTCGAAGCCGCTTTGATGCTGCCTATGCTGAGGGAAGCCCTCTTGATGAGCTTTTGAAAGCGTTGAACCCCGGCGGGCCATGTGACAGGCTTTATAGCCACCATGTCACTGTGATTGACTCTTGCTTGTGGTTGGAGGGGGCGAGGGAACGCATGTATTTGCTCCTATGCCACAAAGACCTTGGAACACACGTTTTGCCAAGGGCTGTTGAGATCTTCAAGGAGTCCATGCAGTTTTTCCGAGAAAACTGTGAGCCTGCTTCGATGATGTCTTTGGTTTTGCCTTCCAACAGCAGCTTTTTAGCAGAGCGCTTGGCCGAGATCCAGGCGCAGTTTAATGGTTCTTGTTCTTGTTATCTTGTTTGGTTTGTTGCGTCAACGCTTCATTGGTGAAGCTTTCCGACAGTTGGAAGCGTACATGAAACGGCGATTTCAATTTTTGGTTCCAAAGAAGATGCATATCCGTTTTTTTTGGGTCTCCCAGCGCTGCGTCAGAGACAGACTCTATAGCTATAGCTGATATTGCTTGCCCTTCATAGTTGCAAGACTGCTTCTCATACTTATGACTCCTGGGTCCTGGCTTCTCTCATGGCCCAGCATTGGCCCAACATGATGTTTGAGGCTAGGCGGCTAAAGCGACAAGTGACAAGTGGGACTGTACAACTTGCTTCGCGCGCAAGGCAGTCAGCTTACTTAGCCAAATTTTGTTGTTTGGTTGCACGCATTGGCCCAACAAACAGGCACTGGACCAAACAGACAGACCATAGAACCCTGCAAACAACCTGGAGCTGGTGGCTTACAAAAACAACAACAGCATTTGCTTTTTCGCTTTCAGCGTTACTAGTTAGAAGAAGCAAAAGAACCGCCTTGTTTGTAATTAGTAGGACGTAGAGTGCTGTCACTAAGTCTGTACATGCCCACTACTCACCTGACAAACAGTAAATTGAAATTTCACACAGAAGTAGACGCACCACTGGCCTGATGATTGTTGTCGGTCATGTTGATCTGTTGTAGTGTTGGGGTGGTAGGTCTGTGCTCGCAAGAAGCCCGCCGGCGTGTTTTGGAAAAGGTTGCTTGTTTCTCCACGACAAGCAATGCTCGACAGATTACACACACATAATGACATAAAATAGATCACACACATAGAAATATATATATATATATATTTTTTTTTGTATTATATATATACAGTATACATGCGCATATGTTGCCGCGCACATAGTTTTCTGGCTTCAGACTTTTGTGCGCTCTTGGGTTGCGCTGTCATGATGCCCGTGGTTGCAGCTGTTGCAATGGGGACAGAATTCCGGACAAACCTTCGACGCAGCAACGCCATCCTGGACACTGAGTGGGATGAGTGGACCATCCTGGAAGACAGTTCAGACGAGCAGCCAGAAACACAACCGACCACCAGTTTGGTACCTCCTCCACCTCAAGCCCCAAAAAGATGCCCCGTCAGTGAGATGCCTCCTCCACCTCAAGTCCCGCAGAGACGCCCCGCCAGTGAGATGCCTCCTCCAACTCAAGTCCCGAAGAGACACCGGAGCAGAAGTAGACATGCCACTGTCACTTGGCTGCTTTTGTTCAAAGGAAAGGAACCCTACACACGCTGCTCCCAGAGTCCGTGCAAAGTTAGCAAGATAGTGAAAGTGTCGGTGGTTGAAGAGAGAAGTTGTAACGCTGAGAAGGCACAAATGAACCGATTGCCAATGTCTCAACAATTCTGTTGCTTATATTTTATCTTGCTATTTACTCTAAATCTCTAATGTGTGTTCACGAAGTCTGAAGTCCGGTCCTTAACAAATAAATAATCTTAGGAAGTGACTCGCTATGACTCGCTTTTGAGTTGGACTCTTGCTGAGGTTCGCAAGCAGACCGAACAGTGTCAGTTGGCACGACTCCGTGACGCAGTCACAACCTTGCAGGCTTCGGTGTGCGTGCTCCAGACCAAGTTTGACAAACAAGCGTCCAAGGTCAAGGCCCTGGAGCGGGGGGCCCGATGAGACCAGCCTGATGGAGACGATCAAGGCTTTGAAGGCAAAGCTCGATGCCCAGTGCAGGATGATGGAGGTGATCAAGTTTCGAGTACAGTGCATTCTGAGCGCACTAGTGAACGATGTGTCTGATGAGCTGCAACGACAGTAGCTACTTATTAGTTTTATATAGGCGGTTGAAAACTGAAGCTGAAGAGTTGTCCATTATCTCAAATGACCTGAAGGGCCTGAAGGACAGTTTTGTCGCGCCAAGTCTCTACAATGCTAAAACGGAATAGACTTGTTTTAGCCAGACAACTCACTCTGCCAATTAAAGGCTGAGCTCCATGGCCTGACCCGTGGGACATGCATAATGACCAGATGTTTCGCTCATGAGCTGTGAAGGAAACAAAAAGGACATCAGATTCCAAGTTTGTGTAGCCAGTGTTTTGTTGTTAGAGTGCCAAACCACTCTGCAAACTTGCGCAAACACAACCCTGTGGAAACAAAGCTACCGGCATTTTTTCGAAAGCGAAAGTCACAGAAGTGAAGCTGCTGTCTAGTCTTGGTTACACTGTCCTTGCCACTGCGAGGAGGGGGCAAACTTTTGAAGTAGTGACTAAGAAAAACAAAATGGTCTGTTCCTAAGGTTTGATGTGTAGGAAGGAGAAATGGAACCCGAAAAGCTTAGAGTTAGTGCGTCTCTAAAGCTCTGCTTTGAGACAAAAGTTCCAGCTTTGAAGCCTCAGGGTTGACCTGCTGCAGGGCTTAATCCAAAGTTCCAACAGTAAAATTCCAAGAACTTCTTGTAGTCCAACTATGGTCTTCAAGCCTTTGGGTCAGGTCTGATGGCTGTAGCCAACTGCTTGGAGCTGCTTGGAGTGTAAGGTTCAAGTTTCCAACCTGCACGTTTCATCTCTAGTTTGTAAGCTGTAGGTTCATGTCTAGAGTCTAGAACTTTAGCAACACTGTGCCCGGAGTTCAGAGTTTAGAGTTCATGCCTTAAGCTTCAGGCTTCACTAGCTCACTAGGAAACTTTAGAGATTGAACTGTAAACCCTGAATGCTGACTAGGTTCCAGGTTAGTTGCTGATGTGAAGCTTTAGCAGCTTGAGGCCCAAGCTTAGCAGCTTAAACCCTAAACCCTAAACTCCTAACGTTTGATGGCTGGAAAGCTAACAGCAGCAGGGCAGAGTTTAACTGGAGTAACTGGAGCTCTAAAGTCAAAATATTTTTAATCGGGTTTTCAGTTGAACTTTTGCTCGAGTTTTTTCTCGAGAAAAGCTCGAATTAAACTCGACTGGTGTTCCACTGAGCTCATACACAAGCTTTTCTCGAGGTTTTCTCGAGCAAACCTCG